TGGTAACATGCTGTCAGTTACACTACATGGTAACATGCTGTCAGTTACACTAGATGGTAACTTGCTGTCACTTACACTAGATGGTAACATGCTGTCAGTTACACTAGATGGTAACATGCTGTCAGTTACACTAGATGGTAACATGCTGTCAGTTACACTAGATGGTAACATGCTGTCAGTAACACTAGATGGTAACATGCAGTCAGTAACACTAGATGGTAACATGCTGTCAGTTACACTACATGGTAACATGCTGTCAGTTACACTAGATGGTAACATGCTGTCAGTTACACTACATGGTAACATGCTGTCAGTTACACTAGATGGTAACATGCTGTCAGTTACACTACATGGTAATAGGCTGTCAGTTACACTACATGGTAACATACTGTCACTTACACTACATGGTAGCATTCTGTCAGTTACACTACATGGTAACATGCTGTCAGTTACACTACATGGTAACATGCTGTCAGTTACACTACATGGTAGCATGCTGTCAGTTACACTAGATGGTAACATGCTGTCAGTTACACTACATGGTAACATGCTGTCAGTTACACTACATGGTAACATGCTGTCAGTTACACTAGATTTTAACATGCTGTCAGTTACACTACATGGTAATATGCTGTCAGTTACACTAGATGGTAAAATGCTGTCAGTTACACTACATGGTAACATGCTGTCAGTTACACTACATGGTAACATGCTGTCAGTTACACTAGATTTTAACATGCTGTCAGTTACACTACATGGTAATATGCTGTCAGTTACACTAGATGGTAACATGCTGTCAGTTACACAACATGGTAACATGCAGTCAGTTACACTACATGGTAACATCCTGTCAGTTACACTTTATGGTAATATGCTGTCACTTACACTAGATGGTAACTTGCTGTCACTTACACTACATAGTAACATGCTGTCAGTTACACTACATGGTATCATGCTGCCAGTTACACTACATGGTAACATGCTGTCAGTTACACTTGATGGTAATATGCTGTCAGTTACACTAGATGGTAACATGCTGTCACTTACACTACATGGTAACATGTTGTCACTTACACTACATGGTAACATGCTATCCGTAACACTTGATGGTAATATCCTGTCAGTTACACTACATGGTAACATGCTGTCAGTTACAGTACATGGTAACATGCTGTCAGTTACACTAGATGGTAACATCCTGTCAGTTACACTTTATGGTAATATGCTGTCAGTTATACTAGATGGTAACATGCTGTCACTTACACTACATGGTAACATGCTGTCAGTTACACTACATGGTAGCATGCTGTCAGTTACACTACATGGTAACATGCTGTCAGTTACGCTACATGGTAATATGCTGTCAGTTACACTACATGGTAGCATGCTGTCAGTTACACTAGATGGTAACATGCTGTCAGTTACACTACATGGTAACATGCTGTCAGTTACACTACATGGTAACATGCTGTCAGTTACACTACATGGTAACATGCTGTCAGTTACACTAGATGGTAACATCCTGTCAGTTACACTTTATGGTAATATGTTGTCAGTTATACTAGATGGTAACATGCTGTCACTTACACTACATGGTAATAGGCTGTCAGTTACACTAAACGGTAATATGCTGTCAGTTACACTAGATGGTAACTTGCTGTCACTTACACTAGATGGTAACATGCTGTCAGTTATACTACATGGTAACATGCTGTCAGTTACACTAGATGGTAACATGCTGTCAGTTACACTAGATGGTAACATGCTGTCAGTAACACTAGATGGTAACATGCAGTCAGTAACACTAGATGGTAACATGCTGTCAGTTACACTACATGGTAACATGCTGTCAGTTACACTAGATGGTAACATCCTGTCAGTTACACTTTATGGTAATATGCTGTCAGTTATACTAGATGGTAACATGCTGTCACTTACACTACATGGTAATAGGCTGTCAGTTACACTAAACGGTAATATGCTGTCAGTTACACTAGATGGTAACTTGCTGTCACTTACACTAGATGGTAACATGCTGTCAGTTATACTACATGGTAACATGCTGTCAGTTACACTAGATGGTAACATGCTGTCAGTTCCACTAGATGGTAACATGCTGTCAGTAACACTAGATGGTAACATGCAGTCAGTAACACTAGATGGTAACATCCTGTCAGTTACACTACATGGTAACATGCTGTCAGTTACACTAGATGGTAACATGCTGTCAGTTACACTAGATGGTAACATGCTGTCAGTTACACTACATGGTAATAGGCTGTCAGTTACACTACATGGTAACATACTGTCACTTACACTACATGGTAGCATTCTGTCAGTTACACTACATGGTAACATGCTGTCAGTTACACTACATGGTAATATCCTGTCAGTTACACTACATGGTAGCATGCTGTCAGTTACACTAGATGGTAACATGCTGTCACTTACACTACATGGTAATATGCTGTCAGTTACACTAGATGGTAACATGCTGTCAGTTACACTACATGGTAACATGCTGTCAGTTACACTACATGGTAACGTGCTGTCAGTTACACTAGATTTTAACATGCTGTCAGTTACACTACATGGTAATATGCTGTCAGTTACACTAGATGGTAAAATGCTGTCAGTTACACTACATGGTAACATCCTGTCAGTTACACTTTATGGTAATATGCTGTCAGTTACACTAGATGGTAACTTGCTGTCACTTACACTACATGGTAACATGCTGTCAGTTACACCGGATGTAACATGCTGTCAGTTACACTACATGGTAACATGCTGTCAGTTACACTACATGATAACATGCTGTCAGTTACACTAGATTGTAACATGCTGTCAGTTACACTACATGGTAACATGCTGTCAGTTACACTACATGGTAACATGCTGTCAGTTACGCTACATGGTAACATGCTGTCAGTTACGCTACATGGTAGCATGCTGTCAGTTACACTACATGGTAACATGCTGTCAGTTACGCTACATGGTAATATGCTGTCATTTACGCTACATGGTAGCATGCTGTCAGTTACACTAGATGGTAACATGCTGTCAGTTACACTACATGGTAACATGCTGTCAGTTACACTACATGGTAACATGCTGTCAGTTACACTAGATGGTAACATGCTGTCAGTTACACTACATGGTAACATGCTGTCAGTTACACTACATGGTAACATGCTGTCAGTTACACTAGATTTTAACATGCTGTCAGTTACACTACATGGTAACATGCTGTCAGTTACACTACATGGTAACATGCTGTCAGTTACACTAGATGGTAACATGCTGTCAGTTACACTACATGGTAATAGGCTGTCAGTTACACTACATGGTAACATGCTGTCAGTTACACTACATGGTAGCATGCTGTCAGTTACACTACATTGTAACATGCTGTCAGTTACACTACATGGTAACATGCTGTCAGTTACGCTACATGGTAACATGCTGTCAGTTACGCTACATGGTAGCATGCTGTCAGTTACACTACATGGTAACATGCTGTCAGTTACGCTACATGGTAATATGCTGTCATTTACGCTACATGGTAGCATGCTGTCAGTTACACTAGATGGTAACATGCTGTCAGTTACACTACATGGTAACATGCTGTCAGTTACACTACATGGTAACATGCTGTCAGTTACACTAGATGGTAACATGCTGTCAGTTACACTACATGGTAACATGCTGTCAGTTACACTACATGGTAACATGCTGTCAGTTACACTAGATTTTAACATGCTGTCAGTTACACTACATGGTAACATGCTGTCAGTTACACTACATGGTAACATGCTGTCAGTTACACTAGATGGTAACATGCTGTCAGTTACACTACATGGTAATAGGCTGTCAGTTACACTACATGGTAACATGCTGTCAGTTACACTACATGGTAGCATGCTGTCAGTTACACTACATTGTAACATGCTGTCAGTTACACTACATGGTAATATGCTGTCAGTTACACTACATGGTAGCATGCTGTCAGTTACACTAGATGGTAACATGCTGTCAGTTACACTACATGGTAACATGCTGTCAGTTACACTACATGGTAACATGCTGTCAGTTACACTAGAAATTTAACATGCTGTCAGTTACACTACATGGTAACATGCTGTCAGTTACACTTTATGGTAATATGCTGTCAGTTACACTAGATGGTAACTTGCTGTCACTTACACTACATGGTAACATGCTGTCAGTTACACCGGATGTAACATGCTGTCAGTTACACTACATGGTAACATGCTGTCAGTTACACTACATGGTAACATGCTGTCAGTTACACTACATGGTAACATGCTGTCAGTTACACTACATGGTAATATGCTGTCAGTTACACTAGATGGTAACATGCTGTCAGTTACACTACATGGTAACATGCAGTCAGTTACACTACATGGTAACATCCTGTCAGTTACACTACATGGTAATATGCTGTCACTTACACTAGATGGTAACTTGCTGTCACTTACACTACATAGTAACATGCTGTCAGTTACACTAGATGGTAACATGCTGTCAGTTACACTACATGGTAACATCCTGTCAGTTACACTAGATGGTAACATGCTGTCAGTTACACTACATGGTAATAGGCTGTCAGTTACACTACATGGTAACATGCTGTCAGTTACACTACATGGTAGCATGCTGTCAGTTACACTACATGGTAACATGCTGTCAGTTACGCTACATGGTAATATGCTGTCAGTTACACTACATGGTAGCATGCTGTCAGTTACACTAGATGGTAACATGCTGTCAGTTACACTACATGGTAACATGCTGTCAGTTACGTTACATGGTAGCATGCTGTCAGTTACACTACATGGTAACATGCTGTCAGTTACACTACATGGTAACATGCTGTCAGTTACACTACATGGTAACATGCTGTCAGTTACACTAGATTTTAACATGCTGTCAGTTACACTACATGGTAATATGCTGTCAGTTACACTAGATGGTAACATGCTGTCAGTTACACTACATGGTAACATGCTGTCAGTTACACTACATGGTAACATCCTGTCAGTTACACTTTATGGTAATATGCTGTCAGTTACACTAGATGGTAACTTGCTGTCACCATTCCCTTCGGATTCACATATCGCTTTAATATGTGGAACTGTAATGATCGTTATTGCTAACTAGAATTTCAAAATTAAATACTTCCCTGTGTCATTTCTTTAGCACACTACAGTTTAAAATGCTTACGTTAATCTAGCTCCAGACGAACACACCCTTTACCAACATAATAAGCACAGATCATGTAGCCAGGGAAAATGCCTTTGTAAACATTGTTTTCCCATCGTTATGCTGTAAGGTTTTGTAAGAAGGTGACCTCTACTGCCGCCATCTCAGTTTTTGAAACCACGCCATGCTTTGACGTCTAAGATATTTCATATCAAGTATGTCAAGAAAACATCGTTTGCATTACCCTCAAGAAGCATTATATACTGGAGGTGTGGCGGGCTCACAATCTGATTAGGCCGCGAGTGACCTATGTATAAGATCAAAGTCACAGTGCAAGTGATTTGTAAAGTACCTTTACTATTTTCACGAAATTGACCTTTCCTATAGACATTTTCAAGTCGTATGATTAATTGTCTTAGTTTATTTGCTGTATAACGCTTGTGAATGTTCATGAAACACATGTCACTAATATTGAAGGTCAACTTCACCCTCATATGCCTGGTAGTATGTTCATGGCATGCAATGTTTACTGTCCCTTGGTACTGAAGTTTTAAGGATTTGACTGACCATCATTATAGGTCAAGGTCACTGGTCAAACTCATGCATTCAGTGACACCTGAAAGTAAGGAAATCCGTTAAAGCGGAAATCCAGGAGTTTCTTATGAAGGTGTCAAGAGGCAAGATACTCTCTGTTGTAAAGATGTACTGCATTTGGCATGTGTCTTTTTCCAAACCGGAAGTCCAATTGGCTTTCTTTTTAAATAAGTTTCAGGCAATGTAGTTTCTGTTTAAAAGCTATGTTTCCCCCAACTGTATGTCCATATGGGAATTCACTTAAGTTTCTTATTCAGGAAGCTAGGGGCACAGGGCTTTTAGCGTTGCACTTCATATGTATCTTTTCCAAACCGGAAATCATGTCATCAAACCAGAAGTGCATACAATCTAGAGGCATAGGTCATTCTGGTTTAATACTACTGCGTTGAACATGTTTTCACAAACCAGAAATCTGGTCGTTTGACTGGTAGTGATGTCATTAGAGCTGAATATAATTGTCGTATTTAAGTAGTGGTAGGAATGGGACTTTCGGGCTTTAGAACGTGTACGTGTGTTCTTAGATCACAAGTAATTCATTAGACTGCAGCTGCATGTAGGTTCCTCGTTAGCTGGAGGTAGACCTGTGTATATCAGACTGCAGCTGCATGTAGGTTCCTCGTTAGCTGGAGATAGACCTGTGTATATCAAACTGAAACTGCATGTAGGTTCCTCGTTAGCTGGAGGTAGACCTGTGTATATCAGACTGCAGCTGCATGTAGGTTCCTCGTTAGCTGGAGGTAGACCTGTGTATATCAGACTGCAGCTGCATGTAGGTTCCTCGTTAGCTGGAGGTAGACCTGTGTATATCAAACTGAAACTGCATGTAGGTTCCTCGTTAGCTGGAGGTAGACCTGTGTATATCAGACTGCAGCTGCATGTAGGTTCCTCGTTAGCTGGAGGTAGACCTGTGTATATCAGACTGCAGCTGCATGTAGGTTCCTCGTTAGCTGGAGGTAGACCTGTGTATATCAGACTGCAGCTGCATGTAGGTTCCTCGTTAGCTGGAGGTGGACCTGTGTATATCAGACTGCAGCTGCATGTAGGTTCCTCATTAGCTGGAGGTAGACCTGTGTATATCAGACTGCAGCTGCATGTAGGTTCCTCGTTAGCTGGAGGTAGACCTGTGTATATCAGACTGCAGCTGCATGTAGGTTCATCGTTAGCTGGAGGTAGACCTGTGTATATCAGACTGGAACTGCATGACAGTGTAAATAATGTCTGAAGCAATCATATTTCTAGTTTGTAACACTCTTGATTGTTATCTGGCTCATTTTGAGTGTCATCATTGCCTAATTGCGCGGAACAATTAGTGACAAGTTTATATATTCCAAGACTGAATGCATTTCACAGTTCGCTTCACGTTACCCGAGATACAACCAACTCATCATTCATATCAGCGTTACCCTGTACATCAAAACAAAGTATCAACATGTCGAAAAATACAAACTCTCTCCACTGTGAGGTCTGTAACGCTCACACAACACATCGGCACATGCACGCATCTTTGGTGAGTTGTTACATCCTAATGAAAACTCCTGATATAGGTGAACACCCCCTCGTATTTCCTCGTAGCGGAGACCTGATGTTTAATTACACATCTCTATATTTTTAACTATATATTATCTTTACATACATGTGTGTTACTGGTCTAATTGGATTGTGATATTGTTGTTTTTGTAGTTGTTTACAAACTTTCTGATATATTTGAAATGCCATAAATACAACGTCTTAAAATCTCGGTGTTATTTTTGAGTTGTTTGTTTATATGTCGGGCCATTGTATTTGTGTGTATGATCAGATTATTCTAATTACTCGAGCCCCGTCCCAACCTTTGCTTGCTGTATATACTTTGATCGGATGGTCAGGCTCGGTGACTTGGTCGATTGCGTGTAATCGTAGCCCGTCCGCGTGGGATCTTGCTCATAATATCAATCACTGGTGGTCCAGACAATGTTATTTACATGCCGCCATTACATAGCTCGAGTGAGGTATTCAGCAACAAATAAAAGTATGAAGGTACAGGATAGTCCGCTGCAGGAGTAAATGCCTTTACACACTGGTATTGTTTGAAACGACGCCATTGTGAATCAGTCGGGAAAAACACCAGAAACAAATACACATTCAAATGGCCTTACTTGCAGACACGAGTACTGTCAACATTGCGTGTTTTAACATCTGAATTTTTCAATCACTTGAATGCAGGTTTACCACTGACAATACCACAATATGGATCACACCACTGAAAATGGCTGTCATCACATGATCAAATCTTCAGTCCTCAAAAGTCCTCTTCACTGTCAACTGTCCGTAAACAGTTGTTTAACAAATAGTATATTTCTTCCCAAACTCACACGAATGGGTAAGGTGGAAAACACTACGACAAAGAGACACATGGACGATTGCGTCACATCGGGCTAGACCAACCTTCGGTCCTGGTGAAGAAGCCATGCAGGCTCGATTGGGTACCTGGACTTGGAACCGCTGACCACCATCTTTGAACTTGGATACCAGGGCTCACTTGCACAAAACTATCTTAGCGTTAAGACTATCTTAAGCCTATGATAAAGTATGGGAGTTACGATCATATCAGCGCAAAGATCGCTTTGTGCAACTGGATCCAGGACTTGGCACCACTAACCACCACAGACATCAGAACCATCACGGTCAACACACGGTAGCCATACAGAACCATTTGAGCCAAGCAACCAAGGCACGGACTCATTCTCGACGGGCACCGTATGGAGAATAAAGCGTCCCAATGTTTATGTTATCGTTAAGTATGTGGACATGTTTTTATACGGGGATGTAATGGTATGAGGTTACTATATTATTAGTGGTGTACAAGAAGGGCTACAAGAGTTAGGCCCCTTTGTAAACAGAAACTTTGTTCCATCTCAAACAGTGTAGAATGCGTGATCATGTATCCTGAGTTACGGTATGCATATATGTTCCTCTTGATCATAATGTCATGTCATGTCATGTACATGTGTTTAATGTTATCATGGTAGTGTCAGTTAGGCTGAGGAGTCACGTTTTGAACCACAGTCATCGTTGCATTCGTCACCACTCGCCCCTTTCCGTAACCTGCAAGAAGATTCGGCTTGTCCCGGAAACGAGTTGGTCAGGAATGTCATCGTTGTCTTTATTGACTATAACGACCTTTAGAACATATTCATAACCACAAACGTTTCGAAAAGGTCACAATACCATATGACGTAATTTGTAGTATTTTGTTGCCAGTTACACCGGCGAAACAATGCCCTGTGACGTCAGGGGTCATCATGTGTGCATAAGCTCTTCTCAGTGATCTATCAACTCCACACGCAATGTCATTGAATAAGCCCAGCGATGTTGAGAGTTTTGAATACTTGTACTAACTATAGCCTGCGGTACTCTTATTTTCAATATATTTTTTATTTCGTTTGTTTCTTAATTCAAATGGCTATACAATGATTATAAATAGGAACTAATATACATATATTATTTTTATTAATTTTCATTATTATTAACAGGACTACAGTTTATTGGGTATATTATATTGCCGCTGAACACATCCAAATGTCGCCGGTGTAAGGGTAGGTTACCACGAACTCTATCCTTCTGATCCCTTGGATCCCCTTCACGGTCACTCAACCCTAGCTTAAGGATCATTAGGGTTAGGTGCCCGTTTAGTACCCGTCCAGGGCCCCGTTCCACAAAGCGATCTTAGAGCTACGATCATCGTAAGCCTATGTTAAAGTATGGGAGTTACGATCATCTTAGCGCTAATATCGCTTTGTGGAACGGGGCCCAGTACCCTATTTTGGTACGACACCTATTTTCAAACAGCCGTATTTAATATTGATTTTGTCGCTATAACGAAATTATGACGTCATCAAAGCTGCCGCCTGGAGAGTGCATGCGTACGGCCTGTCAACGTTAAAGTTGGGTTCATGTGAAGTACTGTACACCTGTCAGAACATCGTCATTCAGAATATTGGTGCCCGTCCCATGATAAAAGGAAGAGTAAAATAGTGATCACACTGTAATCTGGAAAATATTCATATTTTGTGAATAAGTTTAAAACTTTCAATTACTTTTGAGTTTTAATGCCGACCCGCAAGAATTATGTTGAGAAATGTGCGCTAAAACATGTCTGTTCAATCATGGAAACCCCGCTTAAGTACGAAACCAACCAGCTCTTCGAAATATGTGACGTCATTCGAGTGCAGCGGAAGTTTTTACAGACGGCGTAATGGAGGTCACGCCTTTCATCGAGGATTTGTTTTCTTTCGGAATGTAGCTTAATTCCATTGCTGAAGACATCACCTACTGGTTTGAAGCAGAATTTGAATTTTGATTCACTCATCCCTCGAATGCAATGTCATCGATCTTAACTGTTCTAAATTAGGGTACGTCAGGATAGATTCTATAGCGGCTCCTAATGTTCTTCACACGAAAACGTCGAGAAAGCAGGATGAAATGGTTTAGTGTCGAATATTATGGCTACCGGAAACTGTCCTGGAACTTTCATAGAAACCACTTTTACCGCGACCTACGTTTATTCAGTAATGATTCAAAAGCGGACTCGCCCCTAGTTACGTCACTACCCATGCTTATACCTCCCTCATTCCTTACTATGATCCACCAGAGACCATATAATATTCTATTATATGGTCTCTGGATCCACAATGTCCTTACAGTTTTCCCTACCACACTTTTCTGTCACAAAAATCATCCGACAAATTATTAAATCCCATGTCATTCACGCGCAACCGCGAGTTCGACGCCTGACGCCTGGAAACGTGTTCATTTCGCCCCATATCAGCTCATTCCTCACCACTCGGTATCTTGTAGATTACGGATTGGGTCGAGTGTGCCAAATGGCATCGGCATCACTCGTAAGCTTTTGTAGACTAAAGTAACGGAGACACCCCTTCGTGACCAACTTGTGTTATTCCGGGACAAGCCGAATAGCGACTCTCGTTGGCATTTTGACAACTGGGTTTCGTCTAAGCACAAACAGGCATAGCTAAAAGAATATTGTCAACTCGTTGCGTAATGATTAAGGTAATATACCGCTCGATGCCGAGTTATAGTGCAGGTTACGGAAAGGGGCGAGTGGTGACGAATGGTAGACACCATGTCAACCCGTGACCTTCGTAAGTGTCCGTCACCTATTCGACCCTTTTCGTTCACTTCCGTCTTAGGCATGACTAGGTAAATTTGCTCTTAGTTTCACAGTGTTGACGTACATACGAAATGCGAAATGCAGGAAGGGAATTGCGAGAGAACGCCATGATATAGCGAGGGTACTGCAACTATAGCGACGGCACGCGAATGTTATTTCGAGGGGACGCTGTCATATGGCGAGGAATGCGATAGTGTAGCGTGCGATTGGACGTGATAGTATTGAGAGACAAAGTTATATTGCGAGGGACCCTTGTACGTTTTTTTAACCATGGCAGCTAGGAGATTCCTCAACAACGTGTGATATACTGTTTAATGCAGTGATGCTTATGAAAAGGCATTTGCCATGATATATTGCTTATGTTTCCTCCATGTCTTGCATTTCAGGTGGTAAGGAAAGCCATGTAATGTTGAGCAATTGTTTCCAAACACTAAGACGCACGCACGCACACGCGCGCACGCACACACACGCACACACACGCACGCACACACACACACACCACACACGCGCACACACACACACACACACACACAAACACACACACTAAATCTAAATTCTAAACTAATCTGCACAATAAAACTGCTACTGAAATAGATAAAGCAACTTTCGGCATGTGCCACTTGACAATCCGGGATTCGGAAGGCTAAAGTAATTGATTTTCAGGTCTATTGAACTGAATAGAACTTAGGAAAGCTTTTGACCTCACATGATATACTGTACACCGATGACGTAATAACACAAACATATGTGCTATATACATATGGTGATTGATCGATAACTGGACCAATCCTTTAAACTGGACGCCATACCTTCATTTTTTTCATTTAGAGCGTAACTGTAATATTGTTGTTAATTCTTGTCATTTGACAATACAAATATATTCCTTGATATAGATCCTGTTCTATTTATAATACATATGTAATGGACAATATTTAAGGGAACCCCCTGCCATTTCAGCTGTAAGAATACAACTCGCCTCAAAATTTGCATATTGCACATAGTGGTAACTGGCATGTGCCAATAAACGTCACGACCCGTGAAGATCCGTGGTAGAATAGGTCTTCAGCAACCCATACTTGCCGTAAAAGGCGACTATGCTTGTCACTAACGGGATCGGGTTGTCAGGGTAGCTGACTTGGTTGATGCATGTCATCGTTTCCCAATTGTGTAGATAGATGTTCATGATATCAATCAATTGATTGTCTGGTCTCGACTCGATTATTTACAGACTGTCGTCATATAGCTGGAATATTGCTGAGCGCGGCGTTAAACAACAAACAAACAAACAATAAACATCACAGCCACATGGTTCATTGATCGGCTGCAAAGAAGGTATGAAGAGGTATTATCCGGCAGCAGTCTAAGAGCATGATAGGTACGGTACTGGGAGCATCATGGTCTGAGTTAGCATCACATACGATAATAGAGGTAAAAGTCTGAGACCTGCATCACTTCGGTCTTTCCTCCCACATTTAGCTGACACTGGACACTTATAACTGGAGAACTGTTAAAAGCAGCGTTACACCTAACACACTCACTCACTCGCTCACATACGATAACAGGACGGATCTGATTATCGTTAATGGGAACGTGACTGGTCCAGTTATGTTGACCAAACTGTATGTGCAGTGGCCATCCCACTTGCCCAGTGTGGCTCAGAACTTGAGTTCCAAGATGACAGTGCACATCCCCACAGAGCTCGTGTTGCGGTCGACTGTTTGAGGAAGCAAGGGCTCACAACATTGACCCGGTCAGCCATATCCCCAGAAAGGTCAACGATTGAACATTTTTTGAATGTTCTGGGATGAAGGGTTTGCATCCGACCTCATCGTCCCAAGAATCTGCAACGGCTTGTGCAGGCCTCACAAGAGGAATGGTAAAGGATACCACGGAAGACAATCTTGTGTTTGTTATTCAGTATACCCAGAAGCTGATGTGTCTGCATCGATGCTTTCGGGACATGGGCCCTACTATGAAGATTGAATTCCACACATCATTTCTTTACATATTATTTCTGTATAAATTTAAATAGTGTTCCTGGTATATGTTTATGTTGTACTTTGAACCAAGTGAAGGTAAATGGGGCTTTAATGGGAAGTTCACATCACAGTAAACAGCTGTTTCAGTCACATCACAGTAAATAGCTGTTTCAGACACATCGCAGTAAAAAGCTGTTTCAGTCACCTCGCAGTAAACAGCTGTTTCAGTCACCTCGCAGAAAACAGCTGTTTCAGTCACATCGCAGTAAACAGCTGTTTCAGTCACATCGCAGAAAACAGCTGTTTCAGTCACATCGCAGTAAACAGCTGTTTCAGTCACATCGTAGAAAACCGCTGTTTCAGTCACATCGTAGAAAACCGCTGTTTCAGTCACATCACAGTAAATAGCTGTTTCCGTCACATCACAGTAAACAGCTGTTTCAGTCACATCGCAGTAAACAGCCGTTTCAGTCACATCGCAGTAAACAGCCGTTTCAGTCACATCGCAGTAAACAGCTGTTTCAGTAACATCGCAGTAAACAGCTGTTTCAGTCACATCGCAGTAAACAGCTGTTTCAGTCACATCGCAGTAAACAGCTGTTTCAGTCACATCGCAGAAAACAGCTGTTTCCGTCACATCACAGTAAACAGCTGTTTCAGTCACATCGCAGTAAACAGCTGTTTCAGTCACATCGTAGAAAACCGCTGTTTCAGTCACATCACAGTAAATAGCTGTTTCAGTCACATCACAGTAAACAGCTGTTTCAGTCACATCACAGTAAATAGCTGTTTCCGTCACATCACAGTAAACAGCTGTTTCAGTCACATCGCAGTAAAGAGCTGTTTCAGTCACATCACAGTAAATAGCTGTTTCCGTCACATCACAGTAAACAGCTGTTTCAGTCACATCGCAGTAAACAGCTGTTTCAGTCACATCGTAGAAAATAGCTGTTTCAGTTACATCACAATAAATAGTTGTTTCAGTCACATCACAGTATACAGCTGTTTCAGTCACATCACAATAAATAGTTGTTTCAGTCACATCATAGTAAACAGCTGTTTCAGTCACATCACAGTAAACAGCTGTTTCAGTCACACCGTAGAAAACATCTGTTTCAGTTACATCACAGTAAACATCTGTTTCAGTCACATCACAGCAGGACGAACGGAGTCAATAACCTTGTCCAAGGACACAACACACTGACTTGCATGAAATGGCCTCTTGAAATAGAAGAGTAGAAATGATTATTATATATAAGAGTTAAGACATACTGTTTCTCCTGCGCATGTCACTCTGTCAGAGATTATGGCTTTGCTCATGGAATACTCTGTATTGATGAGAATGGCCAAATTGAGGTCTTTTATTGAGGCTGAATGAAAGTTCTTTTCCAAGTAGTTGAAGGCTGAAGTGGGTTTTGTACATAACATCGTGAGCTTTGTGTTTGGTTTCTATTGAAAACCGGCTCCACCCTTCCCCACCCCACCGTCCCCTTTAATATCCAAATTCTTATAAAAGTTAGAAATAAGCTTGAAATATTGATCACAGCAGCAATAAATGACTTGTTGGATCTACAATACTTCCCAAATTATTAATGTTAATCACTCTGACTACTTTACTGAAGAATGTACAGCTTGTTGAAGTGACTGTTATTTCTCCACCAGACTATTATAACCACGAGCATCACCTCTGCCAAGATGAACCTGCAGCTGCCATGATACACTGACTCTGAACTCCTTGGTTCTGTGCTGCGTGGTTGGGGGCGGCCCTTGTACTATGCCCTGAATATTTGAGGAGTCTGTACCAGCAGCTGCCAGTTCTAATCTAAGCCATCTAGAAATAGTCTCCATAGTCACTGCTCGATCAGTAGCAATAAAACTCATACTAATAGCTTGTCCTCTTGCAATTACTCAGTTCTAGATAATTAAGTATCTTGACAATGTTGGGTGGTTGGTTGTTTAACGCCCACTCAGCAATATTCCAGCTATATGACGGCGATCTGTAAATAATCGAGTCTTAACCAGACAATCCAGTTATTGACATCATGAGCATCGATCCACGCAACTGGGATACGATGACTATGATTAATGATAATGTAAATGGTGTCATGTGACAACCCCTGTCTCTGCAAACACATCTTGACAAATGGCACACCATCAGATGCATCTGTTTGTGAAGAGGATGAAGATATCCTTGGAGGGTAAGACAAGTGTTCTCCATCCTTGCAGAATCAGAATCAGTGGAGATACCAACGTTCTTAATACAATTGGATACCAGTTTTTGCATGTGCCACCTCGGCAGTACCAACAGGCCCTCTGCTCTGTCCCCCCGTATCTTCTGCAACACTGGCCCCTAAACACTGAAGGGAGGAAAGACATATAAAGGGACAATCAGACAAATCATGGCTTGACTATACACTCAGGAAAGCTTCTTGCCCCCTGAAGCACTTTAATCACCTTTTGCTGCTTTCAAAGCATCATACTTTTCAATTTCCAACTGTGCAATAAATAGACAGTGGCCCAAAACACATAACTGTAACTCTAATAATCTCTGCAACATGGCAGATACATATACTGAACAACAAAAGTTCCTGTGACATGGAATAAGTTTTAATGCAAAGTTATGTTTTTTACCAAATCTGAAAACACTTTCGGTTTGCAACAGATAAAAGACTCCTGTAAGTGTTCAAATGGTTTAATTTGCCATACTGACTTCAGAAAATGCGTGATTTCATTAAAAAAACCATGAAAATGCCAAAATGTCAATTTACAAATCAATAGCGTGTGTGTCCACCTCTTGCGATGCAAGCAACAAATCTTCGTCTCATGGAATGAACCAAGCGTCGCACAATGTCCTGTGGGATATCTGTCCATATCTGCTGGAGCATGTTTCGAAGTTCCTGGAGTGTCTGTGGAACACGTGGTTGACGTCGAAGGCGCCGATCCATCTCATCCCACATGTGCTCGATTGGTGAGAGATCAGGGGAGCGAGCCGGCCAGGGGATGACATTCACGTTGTTTTGTTGAAGGGAATCCTGAACAAGTCGAGCAATATGAGGCCGGGCGTTGTCATGTTGAAAGGTAATGCCTGGGCCATGACGACGCAAAAACGGTAGAACAAGAGGGCCGATGATCTCGTCGCGGTAGCGCTCTCCATTGAGATTTCCCTCTACCACTATCAAACGCGTCCTCTGTCTTGCTGTAATCCCACCCCATACCATAACGCTGCCGCCCCCGAACCGATCTTCTTCCATGACAAAAAGATTGACGTAACGTTCACCTCGACGTCGGTACACTCGAATCCGTCCATCGCTGTGGCTGAGTTGAAAACGAGACTCGTCAGTGAATAGAACTTGTCCCCACTGCATGGCCGTCCAATGTAGACGCTGTCTGCACCACTGAGGACGTGATTGACGGTGGTTTCCTGTCAAAATGGGACGTCTGGTGGGTCTTCTGGCGACAATCCCTGCACATCTGAGGCGACGACGTACGGTTTGTGAAGATATTCGTCGAAGGCCAAGGATGCTTCTTGCAGTCACTGTTGCTGGCTGGAATCGATTTCGTAGGTGTGTTGTTCGAATCCAGTTGTCTTGTCGATTATTGGTTACGCGTGGCCTGCCACTCCGAGGATGGTCTCTGACTGCATTCGTCTGTTCGCCAATGTTGCCATAAACACCAAATGGTGTTTCTGTGGCCGTTAAATTGTCTTGCAACATCATATTGACTCGATCCTTCTTCAAGCATACCAATGGCTCGCAGATGCTCATTTTCGGACAGGCGTGTCATTTCGTAATGTTGAATAATTGCGTAATTTTGTTGTTTTTCTGAGTGGTTAGCACGATGCTAAACAATGCATATGGAATCCCGTTAACGCACACGTTATTATACCCATTCTTGGGTAGTGAAATGCATGGGGCTTGCATAAAAGTCAACTTCTGCATGGAATGCATGCTTTTCTGTAGCAGTTTTTGTGTCTTGATTCCATACATGTACTTTAATATTGGAAACCAAACTTTACTTGTTTGAAAAATACAATAAAATATTGGTGTCACAGGAACTTTTGTTGTTGAGTATATTTTGTTCTTTTTACAAATGTCCCGATAATTTTCAAGTCTTTTATTAACTTTGTTATCCATGAAAGATATAGTCATGTTCTTAGCCTCAATGGTGAAACCAAGGAACACAGTCAACTCGCATGGTTTTAACACTGACTTTTCAAAGTTTATCGAGAAACCAAGTTTCTCCAGCTTATATCTAGGGACATCTTCACTTTTCAAATATGATTAGGCTTGTCACTTTGTAGGTATGAATCATCTATGTACGGTGCTGACAGGTAATCAAGACTTTTAATCCACTGAAAACTGGCTTCACTGTTTTGTAAATATTCTTGGAGCAGATATCAACCCGAATGGCAGGTACTGATATTGGTAAGTAACACCTCTCCAAATAAATCGTAGAAACTTTCTGTCTTCAGAAATAATACTAACTGAGTAAAGGGCTTCCTTCAAGTCAATATCAAAAGGTGTAGGGCACACACCTCGTGTTCCATCTTGAAATGTGTTCTTTTATTCAATAGTTTAACCGCTTTAGATTCAAGATTTTGTTGACTTAAGATGGAGAAGGATGTTTGTCAAATACTCACTTCTTTCTTTTTCTCCCAGCCTTGTTCAACAATCCATTAATGATTCAACTTCTTTATCCACAGGTTTGAACACCTTGTACTAGTCAGCAATCTCACTGATACATTGGAATCTACCGGTATGGGCGCAGCTATGAGAGGTGACGTCACAACAACATTGTTAAGGGAGTTAAGCATGTCCTGCCTAAGGCTAAAATTAGCACAGTCTCCATTAATAACCACCTCCACGTTCCATGTCTCTTGATCAGGGTGCTACTGATTTAGTAAATTGTTTACTCTGGACATGCAAGCATCAACTTTTGCCATGTACTTCTGCTGCATAGTATGGATAGAAAGTAACATTTTTGTCATTAGTGCGCTCAACAAGAGTCACATTTATTTGAGAGCAATCTGGGTTCTCCTGTGCAGGGTTTGACCCATATTTACTTGTCACATTATCTACATGATCACAATATAGATTTCAGTCTGCCTGTCTCAAGTTTCCAAAGTTCTAGAGTTATAATTGTCATTGTTCAATCAAGAAATTATTAGAAGCTGCAGTATTAAAGTGACCAAGACAAGGCACACTATGCACAACACTGTTTCCTCACACGCAAGCTCAGGGGACTCACATGACCTGATGCTGAAGGAGAGTTAGTATCAAGACATCACTCTGTCACAAGAAATCAATAAAAAAAACACTGTAACTATATTGAAACTACGGAAACAACTTTTTATAATGTGTGAGCAATATTATCGTTGTGCAAGCATTGTCCATACAATAAATGGACATCTCCATGCTTCTCCTTGCTGACTACCTCATTGTGAACTGAACCCATGGGTTCAAGATTCTTCCCTTCAGTATTCATCCCTTACATGACTGAAGTGGGAAACCTGATGTACAGGACAAGGTTTGCGGGGAACATGACATTTACTGTCACCCGTTTGAAGCATACCAATAACTCTCTGCACAATGTTCAATACTCAGACATTGTCGCCGGTGTGAAATTGTTCCTCCTTTAAGAACCATTTGAGTCTGCACAAAGTAAAAACAGGACTATACTCTATGTCGTTAATAGAAACCAAATGGGTCTACAAACACTAAGAGCCCACAGTATCAACTAGAGAGTATAGTTCACCATATTGCTTTGAAACGTTTGGCCAAGCAAGAAACAGACTCAACTAAATCAGAAATAAATCGTGTGAAAAGCAGTTCTATACGAAGTTCGAGGAGTAACAGTCAAGATAGATATTATTCAACGATCACACGAAGTGTTAAATAGGAAGTTCCGAGATGTTGCAGAGCATATGACAGAAACTATGTCAAGATTATCTGGAAAACGAGAGCAGGTGCAACAACCTTATTTTCTACATGGAAAGACAATGAAGGGGAAACATGTACAGCTTGTAAAGAAATTGTGACACATTATGACAGAGAAGTTAATGTTAACAGAAACTATAAATATTCATAGAGAACTCACAGAATTATGCAGGGAAAGTTGTTATTGTGAGGTTGGCATATGAAAAGGTCAAACATCTTAAGTCCTTAAATGTGCAGGTCTGTACCTCAGTGAAGATGTCTCGCCCTTAGTAATACAGAAAAAAAGGCTTGTTCCCTTGATGATTCAGGCGAGGGAATCCGAAATCAATGCCTTTCGTCGTTGTATATCCAGAACTCCATTTATAATTACTCCTATGACGTGAGTGTAGACAGTCTAATAGTGCTGAAACTAACATGGACCTGCCTCAACAGAGGTAGGGCGCCTGGTCCAACAATGACTAACATATATTGAACCAAGTATTGAACTCAAAATTACAACACAGAAAATTAAAGGGCCTTAAACAGAAGTTAGCGGAGGATGACCATAGTACCTTTTGCATTAAGGGTCATATTATTAATGGGTTTATCGAAATTACGGAATAATGCATGGTGAGGATATTTCCACCATTTTAATATCATCAACATTGTATTAACAGAGGAGGGATTGCTCTGGTGATATCAAGAAGACATGGGTAGACTTTTCCGCTTCCATTTTCATTGCTTGACTTTGGAGAGGCTATTTTATTTGTATGTATATATATTCATCTGGAAAGATCCTCTGTGATACAAGGTCTACAAGGGAATATTTGATACGAGAGGCATTAAAACGGCATCAAACACTTTGTTCGTCAAATAATATTTACATTAAAATAATTTCCCAAAAATATTTAATCAACACCGGCATGTTTAAAA